GGATAAAGATGTTTCACCTTTATCAATTTCTCAACCCAAGAACCGTACGTCAGTCTATGAACCACTGCTCTCAGATTCTCCTAGTGCTACAAGACGTTCTTTTGGACCTGGGGCTCCATTTGATTTCTTTCAGTCCCAAGCCCGACTATCTTCAAATTATACGAGAAACTGCAAGGACAACTAATATTAACAGTTCATCTGGAAAGATATGTGGAATTATGCATATCACATGTAGAAAAGATACTACACTGAGGACTCTAACTGCTGATCCGTTCTTTTCAACTGGCCAGCATCTTAATCTATTTTCTATATTGCGCGTGTTAGAGTTGCATCAAGCTGATAATATCATGCTCAGGGGCCACTGTATTTTGGAAGCTTATGCTGTAAAAATCAGGATGGATTACTGTTCCCAGGGTATGAAGATGCAACAACCTAGCGCGATATTGATTCTTGTTTATTGGAGGAAACAGTGAACATTTCACAGATTCTGACACCCCATTTTCAGGGTGATATTAATTTACATAATCTACTCAATTAGAGTGGAGTCAGAGAGATCTATCCATCACAAAAATAAACCAGCATCATTTTCACATATTTATTTCTTACGTGTTGATGCTATTGACTAGATCTGTAAAAATATTAAGGATAGCGATGTGCTGGGAACCTCGATTTTAGAAACGAAGTTCCTGTGCTGACATTGCAGTGATGTTTATAAGTCAGATTGGAAATGGTAATGCTGACATAGTGATCTTTAGCAGTTGTTGAAATGTTTTTATCTTTGCATAGATATTTCGTGTGACCGATGGGTGATCTTTGTGGACATTACACTAAACTATATAACAAGGATGGAAAGTCAATATAGACGTAATGACAAGAAATGTTGAATGTTGTATTTGTTATTGCTACCATTTTTGTAGAATAAGTAGTTCAATTATGGAACACTTCGTTTTTTTAGTTCCAATAAGAGTTCGATACATTATTTATGCGGATATTTAAAGCTTGATGATAATTAAAATTTATGGATGCTTTTATTTGTTATAAAATAGCAGAAATGGAAGGTGAAAGTGAGAGAAAATTTATAGTAGCGTTTTTTTTAGTTTTTTTTTTTAATGTAGAGTATAATATTAGCTATACAGGTGGATATAATAGCTACTTCTTATGCACATACATTCAAACGGTAATATTTCACGATACTACCTCATGGACCATTAAAAGAACCAATGAGAAAATTCTATTGAAAAAAAGAGGTAAATTTCATATATGGCAAATAGATTTAAGCAAATAATGTTTCATAACTATAGTTTATTTAATTACGTTTCATGACTATAGTTTAGAGTTTAGAGGGCAAATGTAACACACCTTACGTTTTAGAGCGACTGACTTGTTAAATTGAAGCAAAAAATAATTTCCCTCCACTTCACGTTGTTTTGTGATGAGTTACTAGTTAGGAGAACAAACATTCAAATGGGATATATAGAGGTGATTAAAGAATTAAATTAAAGTTTAAGGCCCAAGGGAGCTTGGTAACAAAAAATCAATTTTGAAGGTTTTGTTTTCGGGAAGTATTTCAAATGGTCTCATATATAGTCTGATTTGGGGTGACCATATCTTCTACGAGTTAGAGGGTCTATAACCTATTAAATTAAAGGTATGAATTTAGTTTCTAATGCATTGAATCGTTCGCCAATATGACTTTAAAATAGAAAGATATTCATGTTTTCATAAATATTGTGCATGGCAGGTCAAGATAGGCCCAAGTCAGTGCTCAGTGGAATGGAGGTATATCTAATAGTATGCATCATTGGTTTGTTTCATTGAAAATCTTAGGAAAATTAAAATGGACAGAATTTTAATTAAGAAATAAAAAGTAATGTATATTTTATTCCCTTTAATGATAATATCACTTGGTATTTTGAAGACACATTTGAGTCACGTTTACCATTTTCATGAATGTTGAGGTTGACATTACTTTATAGCGAAGAAATTTGCCAAATTATCACTTGAACAAACTTTTTAATTTGGTTGAACAACTCAAGAAATATAACCATAAAAGCTCATAGGTTGGTTTGTCTAGGATGATGCCACGTGTCCCTCCGTTTGGGTTAAGGGTAGAGGCGGAGCTAAGGTTAGAAATTTGGGGGTTCTAAATCAATTTTGTTTGAGGGTTCACATGTTAATATACGTATATTTATTTAATTTTCTAATACAAATAGGGTCTACGAAAAAGCTAGTGGGTTCGTCCGAACCCATGGATCTCTACCTAGCTCCGCCTCTGGTTAAGGGTATACACAACCTAAAAAATTAACGGCAAGGTTGTATACATACATAAAATATAACGAAGGATATACACATACCATTTATGATAGTTTGGGAGTATATTTGTCCTTTTTCCCTAAAATTTATTATTCTTACCTATCTCTATTTTCAATTTAGGCATATCGATTTAAGTTCTAATTCAATTTTTAAGGAATTTCCAATTCAAGTACCTAAGATAAATATTGAGATAAGATGGAGGTGGTGGTGGTTGTGTGGGGGGGTATTTTCATAAGATTAATCCATTAATTTAAATTTTGAACAAGCAACACTATATTATCCACATTAAACATTCACTAAATTTTTTTTTTCTTTCATCACTAATTTTTTTTTTCTTTCGTATGTACTTGTTTGTTCAAAGTTTTATATTAATATCAAGATTCTTCACTTTCATTACATACTTTTAATATCCAATTCAAGTACCTAAGATGATTTGGTTTGGGGGGAGGGGAGAGGGGATTTACTTATGTTTTTTATCTAAGAAAAATCTAATCATTTAAATCTTGACAACCAACATTTTGTTATCCACATTGAACATTCACTAAAACACTATTTTTTCTTTCATGTGCACTTATATATTCAAAGTTTTATTTTATTTTATTAGTATTGATATATTATTATTTTTGATGACAAGGGAAACCTGCAACCCCTACCCTTTGGGTGCGCACAGGGTAAAATCCCCGCTCCTATGCAATAGCTCGCAAACCACATAGGAGAGGTTACCCGCACTAGGTAAGTCTGGTGCGGCGAGCTCGACCCAGTAGGCATATTAGTATGGATATTATTTTATCATAATGCATAAAACAAAACTCGATATATACGTGCAACACAAGTGTCATTCAGGATGTTCTATCATTGTCATGTGTCCTTCACCTTCATTACATCGATGTGAATTGCCTTGTGAAATAGCAATAGAGTTTTTTCAGATATTTGTAATTTGTAGTCTAATTAGGCAACATCTTGCTTCGAACATAGGAGTTGCTAAGAGTAAATTTCGGAAAAAAATAGCCGATTAAATGAGAAATTCTTCAAGAAGTTATGCAGAGACATCCTATATTGCTGAATAGAGCACTCACGCTACATGAATTAGGCATACATGCTTTACAGTCCATTTTAGTGGAGGGGCGTGTTATTTGTTTACATCCATTAGTTTTCAAGGAATTTAATGCCGAGTTTGATGTAGATCAAATTATTGTCCATGTACCTTTATCCTCGGGATTATGAAATTTTGGAAAGAAATGATAAAATTATCTAATTTCACTAAGGATTAATTAGATAATCGAAAACACATGATCTTTAATACTATTCAAAATACACGTGCAACACAAATGTCGAGATAATTGTACTTCTGATGCAATGAAGAAAAAAGAAAATATGTTTTTTCATTCCAACAAAAAAAGAAGTCACGAGAAATTATACACAACATATTTTACTTTTATGATAGATTATGACTTGCACGTGTGAAAGACAGATACAAATATCATAGACAGTGCATTTCTATAGTTTCCATTAATATGTGAACTTTTTGATCAATTTTTAAAAATTAAAAAGAGTGATTTAGTAAAGCATACAACATTATTAGACCCTATAAAATTCAGCTTCATAGCCATTATTGTCCTAACAATTTCACTATACACTGGTCTTTCCACCTATTTTTCTCATCCTTCATCCTACTCATGGCTGCAACTGATTCCTTACATGCATTTTTATGTGTACTTATTTATTCAAAGCTTTATCTTAATAGAATTGATATTATTTTACCATATTGCATATAACAAAACCTCGATGTACACGTGCAACACAAGTGTCATTCAGGATATTATGTCATTGTCATGGGTCCTTCTCTTTCATTACATCTATGTTAATTGCCTCGTGAAATAGCAATAGAACTTTTCCAGATAATTCTAATTCATAGCCTAATTACACAACGTCTTGCTTCGAATATAGGAGTTTCTAAAATTAAAATTTGAGAACAATAGCCGATTAAATGGGAAATCCTTCAAGAATTTATGCAGTGACATCATGTATTGCTGAATAGAGCACCCACGCTACATAAATTAGGCATATAGACTTTCCAACCCATTTTAGTGGAGGAGTGCGCTATTTATTTACATCCATTAGTTTGCAAGGAATTCAATACCGAGTTTGATGGAGATCAAATGATTGCTCATATACCTATATCCTTGGGATTATGAAATTTTTGAAAGGAATGAAAATATAATCTACTTTCATTAAGGATTTATTAGATAATTGTACTTCTTAAAAAAGGGGAAGGAAAAAGAAAATTGATTTATTTATTCTGACAAAAATGAAGTCCAGAGAAATTATATACAACATATTTAAGAAGCTACCTTTGCTATCAGATCTTTCAGTACATCGCTCAAGAGACTTGAAGAAGATGATATGTTGTCTTTTTGGAGCTCTCTATAACATAGGAGAATATTGATTTTTTCTTTCCTTTTCTGATTTAGTAGGAGCTTAGTTTTTTTTTTTTTTTTGTTTGGCCATTCCTTCTATAAAATAAAAAAAATAAAACTCAATAATATTTATAATCAATATTTACTTTTAAGTTTTAAGGCAAGATGAAGTGAAGATTCATTTAGTCGGTTTTTAACTTGTTTGGGACTGAGGCATTTGATTGTTGTTGTTGTTGCTTACTTTTTAAGGCAACACAGAGGCTTTCTAAGTAAGGCAAAGAAATGGTAAACAAATAGGGCAGAAATCATCAACAGTTCTCCTGATTCTATGCAAATAAAGTAGAATAGACACTGTTCATTTCATTTACACAAAAGACAGAAGGATGAAGAAGTTCAAAAAACTTCTAGCCCACTTCTATTATGGAACATCCAAAACTTCAACATGGCCATGACAACGAATTCCACTTGTGTAGGAGAACGCGGATAAAGAGAATAAAAAGAGCTCCTCAAAAAGATAATCAGCATAAGCGTGTAAAAGAACTAACCGGCTAGCTATATCAACTCTTCTTAGATTTCACCGATACTCCTTTGTACATTGTTACTTTGTCCTTCAATGCATCGCGCCTAGGACGAGCTATTTTGTTGTTAGGATCAAAAAGAAGTACCTCTTCAAATGCATTTAGAGCAGATGTTAAGTCTTTGGTTTTCTCATACGCATCACCAAGGTTGTTCCATGCCGTGACATAACCAGGTTGAACTTTTACAGCATTCTCAAACTGAGCAATTCCTTTGTCAATTTTCCCATCAAGTACATAACTGACACCAAGGGCATTGTAAACCTGTAAAGATGCCCAAAATTTAAGGAAGGGAGCAGAATTCAGAACTCAGATACCTGAAAAGATTTGGTATGCAACAGCAAAAAAATATTGGCGAGTAATAATTCTAAAACTGTCCAAGATGATTCTTTAGAAATACTTTCTTTTGAAGTCGTAGTTCTCTGTATTGGTTAAATTTCATTTAACAGAGATTTGCTTAACATTCTCAGACTATGCCATGATACAAGCTTCCTAGTTAGATGTTCAATCAACTCCACAGTATTTGGAGTTCCGTTATGCATATTACGGAATCCTGGACAACATGACCTGTCCCCTAACCTCCATGGCTCCATCAACCAAAAAAATAAAAAGAATAAGACTGGAACATCAAGCTTATTTCTACCACGATCAGTCAACCTCATTTCTTCTAGGCAAAATCCTGATTTCCTCAAGTGTACTCCAGAAGATTATTCTGTTCTTTTAGTCCAGTGATGTAGGCCCAATGTTGGGATCCCATGTTATGCATCCCCATGTTAATGCCATCTCGACGCTCCAAATATACAATCATGGGTTATTGTCTTCTTATATGATCTTAAACAACCTTCACTTCATGAACTAGCTTTTGAGGTCCATTTTCTAGATTTTGATCAAGAAATAATTTGTTAGCTGGGAATTTCAGCAGTTTCTAGAAGGCTTTTGAGCTTGTGCTTTTTTTTTTGGCTGTAAGTTATTTGATCCAGGGTAAAAGAGATTCTTCACATGTTCATCTGGATAAATGTGCATTCACTTGTATCGAAAATTTATATATGAAATGAGAATTGTTATAGAGAAGGTCCTATATATAAAATTATAAATGATAAATGGAAAAGAAATTGTTGAAGAGAAGTTCATACTTGGGCAAGATCCTGATCATCTCCATCCCACTTTTCTACTGCCTGAAGAAGGAACTTGGTAGCAGCTGGGTAGAATTTTCTCCTCAACATCACAGCTCCAAGTTCAAAAAGCTCTGTCGCACTGGCATCACCACTTCTAACTTGCTCCTGTGTTGTGTGTCAAATAATACAGTTCGTTCAGAGATAGAGAAAGAGAGTTGAATTCTCGCATCTATGTGCAAGTTGTTCTTGCAAGTGATATAGATGTGTAGACACGTGATGCCGAATTGTAGGTCAAAAGTAAGCTATTTTTGTCTGTGGGAAACAAATAGAACAATTCATGTTGATGAAACACAATCTTCTTTCTTCTTTTTTTCTCTCTTTTAATTAAAAAGCATTATTCTCCTGCTCTTCCTTCAGGAGACTACAATAGTGTGTGTGTGCATATATATCTTCAAAAGAATTTTGCTTTTGTAGATCTAAGCAATACAGATGCATATTATGTACGCTTCAAATAAATGTCAATGCATTTATAAACAAAGAGAAAAGACATTTAGTCACGTACTTGCAATTCTTTGGCAGAAAGATCAAGCTCTCTGCGAACAAGGACTTGCCGAATCACAAAGAAACTCCCAACCCCAAGCAATGCTAGTAGTAAAAGCAGGTAAGTAAGCTGGATTCCCAGTTCAAATAACTCTCCGACCTCATAAACCATATTTACTCTGACACCTTCACTTGCTGATGCCACTTGCCCAGATGTCAACCAGAAGATAGACCCACATGAGATAGCAGATAGAGAAAGAACCTGTCCACTACTAATAGTAATATCTCCGCCATTCAGCAACTTCTCTGGCAATTCTGCAATGGGAAGCCAATGACGGGACCTTTTAGTTCATGCAAAATTTGTGCAACAAAGCATTATTATCATATTTATATTTCATAGCAATTATATTAGGCAATCTTCCTCTGTTTGTGTATAGAGGATTTGACACAAAACAAGAAGTTCCAAACTTCTGTTGGAATGATTTAATTTACTTGCTCATAGAAGAACAAGGTGATGTCCTTATGGAAATTAATCTCAACAATATACACAGTAGTGTATACATTTAGTCCCAAGTATGGATTTGTGTCACAGGTCATAGAAGTTGATTAAAATTTCAGTTTGCTTTCCATTCCGAGGATGAGGGTGCATTTTCAGTGTTTTTCTATCAAGAACTAACAGATCAGTCAAAAAGCATCAGTGGAGTTAAAAATGTAATCATATAGTATGATTCGAAGCTAAATCGTATGTCCTTCCAATCTCATCATCTCTTGATCTTTCTCAAGCTAGGAGTTAAGTAGGTTTGCATACCTTTCTAAGGGAAGATAATATTTTTTTTCTTTTTGGTAAATCTATCGGAAAATGATAATTGTTAACATTAGATAGACTGCCGCAAAACTAATAACAATATACAAATATTCCTGTTAAAGCAAAAAAAGAAAAGTATGTGTAAGAAAATCCACATTTCTCAGTCTAGACTATACCAACGCAGGGATCTAGAACTAGCACTTCAAATAAGATAATCCATCCTACCCTATGTGTCATATTTTCACTAGACATGAAGATTTTAGTTTGACTTGAGTATTATAGAATCAATAAGAGAAGAATACACTACTAGTTGTTGTTATCGATAAGTAGAATACCAGTTGTATAGTTAAATAAAGAAAACATCCCATCAAAGATAAAAATTGTGTAGTTAAATGAATTTGAATCCTTGAAACTTGTAAAGGTTACATTGAATAATTTTATTATTCGGATTATGGATAGAGAGAAATAGAACAACTTTTGAAGGAACTAAACATGATTTTGTACATTTGAAGAATAGCCTTTTAACCTTCATATCTTTTTGATTGAGCAATCAGTGTCTTTCATAGAGAACCATTTGTTTATGTAGGTTTCTCTTTCTTCAGCATAATACTTGTATACGGGAACTTCCCCTTTCGTTAATGAAATTATTACTTGCTTGATCAAAAAACAAATAGAGGTATCTTAACTTTTCTCACGTTCCAAATAGAAAATGTCATATAAACTGTGGCAAAAAAGAGCAATTTCCAAAAACTGAGTATCAAAGAGGCTTTTGATTGCTAGGACTGATCCTTATTATTATTTTTTATCAAGTAATTTCTAAGACTGATTTAATCGAACTCTATTATAATTAAATAAGATCTATCCACATAATCCCTTTAGGTTCTTGCAGGGTAATTGGAGACCACAAACCAAACAACGCTGGGTGAAGGAGTGACTCGATTTTCAAAACATTCTTAGAAAGACAAGGACTAGCAGGAGTGAGAGTCTTGGCGTAACTAGTAAAGTTGCTTCCATGTAACCACGAGGTCACGGATTCGACCTATGGAAATAGTCTCTTATAGAAATGACTTGTGGTCCGGCCCTTCCCCAGACCCCACACACGGTGGGAGCTTAGTGCACCAGGCTACCCTATTTTTGTTTAACAAGGACTAGCAAGGCACCAGCTGCGCCATTGGATAATTTTGCCCATGTACTTCAAAGCATCAATTAGAGTTATTTTTCACAGTTAATCATCAAAGAAGAAAAAGAAGTACCATCAACTTTCTCTGAAAGCAAAATTGGGAATGATTCTGATTTCCTTGCATAAATCTTCAGCTGTAAACAATATAGACAAAACTTAAAAATGCCCAAAAAGAGATAAAACAAATCAACAAACGCATCACTAAAGAGCTTTCAACTATACAGTAATAGACAGCACTCACTCAAATAATCAACTACAGTATATCAAGAAAACACAGCAACCCAAAAATTAGGGAAATTACCTGAATTGAATTTCCCTTAATGGGTCTTCTTGGAAAGTGATAAGAAGCTGATTTTGAACCACACCCACCATTTAAATCAAGAAAACAGCCATGTTTACTCCAACTTGTTGCAGTTTTAGCTGGAACAAGAACAGATTTTTGCAGGGGAGGTGAAATGGTGGACTGTATCATTAGCATTTCTTTTCTTCTATCTACAAAAAGGGTATATTTTTATGATTCAAGGTACCAAATAGTAAACTGGGAAGCATCAAGATTGAATTTTTAGGGGCATAAGATGAATCATTCTTGGTAAAATTTTCTTCTGTTTTTTGCTGCTTGAGGATAATAAAGTTTATCTCAACCAACTCTATCGGGAGTGGAACTAAACCGGACCGGCCGGTTTTAGCTTTTTCTCTTTTTCATAACTTCGGAAAAGGGTCATATTTGTCATTAAAATTTACTTTCTATTTAACATTGGGAAAATTACCTAACCCACTTAAATAAATAGAGCAACTTTCACATATAGCAAACATAAAAAATATATTTGTATGTTATAGCTATAGTTTGTATAATTGCGCTCCATAGCAAATTTTATGTTTGCTATAGAGCTTTTGATTTGTATAATTCGCTATAAATATCTAATTTTATACAAATTGTTCAGTTTTGTATAAATTCATTTATACATTGTAATTTGTATAATAAGATCTGTATTTGTATAATTATAAGTGTATATGACGAAAATATATGTATTTGTA